TAATCACGAGCACTTCATCTATCCGCAGATAATGCACTTGCTTGTGAAAAGCAACAAACGGAGTAATAAAATGCCCACTCAATATACAAAAAAAGGCTTGGCTTATCAAAAATTTTTTTAAGAGTTCTATTTTAGATGCTGATAACGTAACCACTTCCCCAAAAGACCAACGAACAAATAGAAAATGTCAAATAGACAATGTTGTTCTATGTTACTGCAGAGTAAGTATGATTTATCAAATGACTTGTTGATTCCTGTTTAGAATTCGACAATGTAATTGCTTGTGAAAAACGTAACGTCATTTTGCTTTATAATTTACCGAATTTATCCGCAGAGAACAATTGCTCGTGAAAAAGACGCCCCTTGTTACGCAATTGCTCGTGAAAAAGACGCCTTTTGCTTCGAATTATCCGCAGCAAACTTTATTAATTTATTGTAGATAGCTGATAACATAGCCGCTTGTGAAAAAAAAAAAAAAAGACAAAAAAGTAAAACTCTATTGAGCAGGTTCTGTGCAAAATTTTTTTTCAAAGACTTTGTTAATCATATTTGGAATAATTAATATGCACTCATTTTCTGGGAAAAAAATGCTATTCGAGCAGAGAAGCTTGTATCGTATTACCAAGAACATTTTAAATTTGATAATGCGAGCTGACAGCGTTTGTCTTTCTATACATTGCTAGCGCAAATAAGCACGTCATCGGACACATGGCCCAGAACAAAATGATCGTAACAACGGCATATGCATCGTTATTATCATTTGTTCGACAAAAAATTTTAACACGTAATCTGATGTGCTTAGTAGCACTAAAAATTCTGTGCATAGCCCCAAATCTGTGTTTGGATTTCTTATAAAGCAGGCATCTGTTTGCCTCGTCAAAAATTGTCCATCGTTTGGTCGAAAAACAAACTTTATCCACTCTTTTAAGCCTTGCCTCTTCCCGCGTTTAATAATATGGCGGCCATTCGATGGACCACGTAACACGGTTCGTTTATGGCTCTTCGCGACTTGCATTCGGTATGCTACATAAATTCATTTGATTATACGTACATATGTGTGTACACGTACACTAATTGTTTATTTTTCAACATTTGATATAGTTCGCAGTCGTGGAGAGAATATATGCATTACGCGGTGAGGCGGCAGTTAAGGTAAAGTAGAATATTTGCTGAGTTTATTATCGACTATTAATCTGACGCAATTACAATGCATATATTCTTTAATTATATAGGAGAACGTGTATATAATGTCATAATAAAAACTTTTTGAAAAAATCATTGCCGTGTGATTTGTCTCTTGCTTATTGTTTGTATTAATTTCAAATTTGCATATGTCGTTATAATTTATATGTCACACATTCAAATCGAAATTAGAAATGCCTATTATCGACGTAATGCCGCGTAGATCTTTAACGTAAACCTTATACAAAAGAATTGCTTAATTCCATGATCTAAGCTCGCAGTCTGACTGTTTATTTGGTCCTATGCATGTGATCAATATGTGGCAACAATGAAGTCTCCTATTGTCAGATATACAAGCGTCACCAACATTGTGCGAGAATTTTACTGATTGTACGATGAACCAAGAGCAGGCCTAACAAAATAGAAATATTGGAGATCACTTAAACTGTGCGAGTTGTACGAAAGCATGAAAAAGAAAACAGAACTTACTAATTACTGACCTCTTGGTGATATATCTATCAACAATACCATCTTTGCATCAATAAATTTAATAGTGATCAGGCAATGTACACAATTTATCGTTCGTACATCCATCCCCATGTCTGCATGTTACAATACAGCCTGCATCTACCGAGACAATTTCTTATTTAAAAATGATTGAGGTTGTGGCAAACGAATTAGTCTCCACACGTGGATACTCCAAGAATGATATGAAAATCTGGCGCTTGCATAAAAATGTCGATTGGGTTTGTGAGCTAGCGCGCCATGCGGGTGGTGGTGATTATGGAGGAGCACGAAAAAGGACATTCAAAAACAATTTCGCGGTAAGGCACCAATTGTTACGAAATACAGTTATGTGGCCTCGAGTTGATTGGGTCGTACCGATAAAGGGAATGTAGACAACTTGCTGGCGCGGC